TATTTCAGTCCTTACAAAACTACGTTTCTGGGGCAAAAATATACCATTTGCTCAAAACATTTAATCCCAACACAGCTTTCATAAGGATACTGACACTGTTTATGTTGAATTTGGTTTTCTAGTCTGGGTAGGGCTGGCCTCCTTTCTGTCCAACAAATTACTCTGTTAACCCCTCACACCAGTGAGCAGTAAAGATTGTGTTGAGTTCAGAATTATTGTCCCTGACAGTGAAATGAGAAAGGATTAGAATCAGCGTGTGCCCTCTTCTCCCCATTCACACAAATTCTTGCAGTCCCTACAATCAAGCAAGAAGGATACAGTAATGATGACAGTTCAGAACATTTCAGCCAATTCATGGCTTTAATTTACCAAAGGCTGATACTGTCACAATTGTCCAAGTGAAGGCAACACAGAAATGGCAAAGAACGGGAAGACTTACTAGGTCGTGCGACAAAGGCTTTAGAGAATGGTCAGGATATTTCAACTGCCTTGACATGGCATTTCTGGGATACCTCAGTGAAGAGCTGCCCAGACTAAGCAACACATCCCTTTTGGTGCCAGTATAGGATTTCTTCTCTGAAAGGTGAGGCTGACAAATTGGAACTAATCTAAGGCTGTGTGGTACAGTCATCTCGCCTGCAGGGACACATTTCAGCATTCAGCTGCAGAATGCCAGCTTAAGAACAGGCTCTCGATAAAGGAAAGTTCAGGCCAAGCCTGGGGATGCACGACTTTTAAACCAAGAACACTTTTTTTTTTTTTTTCCCTTAGTCTATCCCAACCTCCCTGGGGATGGCAATAGGTTCAGAAGATGATAACGTTATACTGCAAACAGAGGGAGAAAAGTCGAGAAATCTCTCTTCTCTGAACTAGTTTTCCTTTATTTCCTAAAGCTGTTTCACAGTTTAATCTATCAGAGAGGGTGAGATTAGTGTTATGGAGAAACACACAAATGTTTTTATTTTTGGGCCATGTTCTTTCAAACCAAAGCTAAAGATCAAGTCATGCAATCCCAGAAAAAGGGGTCTTTCAATTTAGATGAGAGCTGAGGACAAGTTGCCAGCTAGAACAGAGGGCAAATTATGCTGAAGACTCATTATTTTAGCTGGGTCAACCGACAGCATCTTCCTGAGCAATTTAATTAACAAGCTCATGTGGCATAACATTTTTTTACACACTGTAATTCTAAAGCCAGTTACACTTAGAAGTGCAGTAATACCAAGCTTTAAAGACACCAAGAAAAGGATGAAGTCTGTCTTCATCCTTGGCCACAGTGTGGCAGGTACTTGTCATTATGTTAGGAGAAGTTGGGGATGTTCATGTGGCAAGAAAAGGACAATGGAGGGGGTTTTTTTTTCACTGAAGAGAGAGTTCAGTGTAGTAGTGATCCTCACAAAACAGTATGATGCCAGCAAAACAGCAAACAGGTAGCACTGCAAGCAGGTGCAATCCCAGTTAGCCATTCAGTACTTTGGTTTGCAGGTGAATTTGCACTCTGAGAGCTCCACTTCTGCACCTTATCCCTACAACACTCCTACCCAGCCCGCTCTGATTTACTGTAGTGTGGTTTGCTCATGATTTTTCACTTTTCGCTTCTTCTCAGAAAGAAATAGATGAAAACAAAAATTACATATTCTGGTTTCTAAACAGTCAGTCAGAAATTTCATTGAAAATGAAGTCAAGTAGAGGTAATTTCACCAACTCCCTTGGTTTATGGACTTAAGTTATTAAGAGATAGAACCATACTAGTTCCCTTTCTATTAAATAAAAACTTATGTTCTAAGATTGCAATCAAATTACAACTTTTTCCCATTTATTAAAAAAAAAACAAACAACTTTTTTTTTCAAATTGTGTACAGACCTTCCAGACATTCTAAAGTAGAAGGGATGCTTAATCACTCTTGTGCGTCCCACAGGACACTTTGTCTTTCCACTCCTCACTGTATGGGTCCACAAATTCTTAAATTCTTACATAAACTTCAATAAATCCGTAAAGTTTAGCACCCTATTTCCATGCATCCGAATAAACTGAGCACTGACATTCATTTCCATGACCATTTCTTTTAGAGCCACCTGACTGTACACATGACATATAAACAATTTTCCTCGCAGATGTGTCTGTGCTGCGAGCACTTGTGCTTTATAGCTGCAATATTAAACTCACTTGTTGCTGGTTATGAACATTTCACCACACGAAAGTCCCTCTAGAGTCACAACCCATTTGGTCTGTTCTCTTGAGAATGAGCAAGAGTTTATAGAAAACAGGCAGTTCTTGGCAGCATTGTTGCAGGTTTGGCTTAAACTCCTAAACCTCAGTTCACAGATTTTGGAGGAGAGCACAGGACCCACATTCTCGGTCGAAGTCCTGCATCCCCAAAAGTGACAAGTAAATCTCATCAGCCAACTGTCATCATATCTTCCTGGGTAAATGAGTGGTTAGTTCCGGTTTTGATCTCAGGAGAACTGGTACATCCCATCCCATCCATGAGAATTGCTGACACGCTCAGACTTTTAATGGTGCCCACTGTGCCTGGGATTTCAGAGGACAGTGAAGTGCATCCGGCAGTGTACTTGGCCAATTGTGCAAAGCTGTGTACTGGTGGGGTGAAAAAAAAAAACCCTCTCTCACACTGGCAGGAGATCAATTTACAAACTCAAGCATGAGGTTTAATTACCCATTTCATTATCTTAGCTTGCATAGCTCTGAATGTGAACCTTCAATGAACCAAAGAAATAGTCACCAGCTGCTGCTTTGAGAAAGAGGGAGATAACAGGAAGGAGAAGTTCAAATGCCTAAAGCTGCTCTTGCTGCATATGGCACCCCTGTTTGCAAAAGCAGAGGATTGTCCCCAGCCAATAGATCTGTGTTAGACCACACTACGTGGAAGACTTCTGAAAGTCCTCTTTATGTGCTTATCTGAACAAAGACCAAAAGAGATGAAACAGGGTTATCTAGCCAATCACTGAAAAGCCTCAGAGTTAAATTTTCAAATACAAGCAAGTGATCCTTAGAGATTTTTTTTAGAAATTCATCCACTAAATTCAAGTAAATAAATTGTGATGTGCTTGTGGATTTTGTATGAGGAGGAAATAAAGTGTTTGCTGTAAATTATTCACTCAGCACTAGTTAACTGCAATGCTGGCACATTACTAGTCTTTTTAATATTCTTCTCAAGATAATAGGTAGCATTTTGCTTATTACCCTAATTTTTAAGTTGTTAGTTACATTGGGCCATTTGTAAATACAGTGAAGAATTGCAAGAAAATCAAATGTTTTTCCAACTACCTCATTAAAAGTCTCTTTAGTTCAGGAGGGCTGAAAATCCTGCGTATCATGAAAAGTTAAACCCATAGCATACCATCGGGCTCAGCAATTCCAAATTAATTCACATGCCCTTTCATAGTACCTGGGTTCCCCAAAGGCTTTTCAAGTTATAAGCCATATGCATGTCTGTAAAGCTGCATGCCTCTCAAAAACTGTAAATAATAGTGCAGGGGAAAAACCTACAGGGCAAGTGAATTTATGGGGAAAAACAAAAACTGCTTAATTGCAACTGGAATTGCTTATGTGCAAGGCATCTGGAACAGAGGAAAATGATGTAGTATCAGAGTCTAGAGACAATTTAGGGCTTTATTCCTGTGTGGTGACACATTCTGACAAATTCCCACTGCTGGCAGACTCCACTACTGCAATATCACTATCTGATTTTGGATTTGCCAAGAGCTGAGTGAGTATCACTGCAGCTGGAAGGAGATCGTGTGTTCTCAGAAGTTTCACTTAAAACGTACATAACCGCTGTTGAAATCACCCATGCAACTCCCCACTACTTGAGTTTAGTAATTAGTACAGCACAGGAGGGATAAGGAGCACATATCATAGAACCATGAAAGTTGGAAAAGACCTCTGAAACCATCGAATACAACCATTAACGCAGCACTGCCAAGTCCACTGCCAAACCATGTCCCTTAAGCATCACATCCACGCAGTTTTTTGAATACTTGCAGGGATGGTGATTCCACCACTGCCCTGGGCAGCCTGTTCTAGTGCCTGACCACTCTTTCAGTAAAGAATTTTTTCCTAATATCCAATCTAAAACTCCTCTGGCACAACATGAGGCTGTTCCCTCAACAACGAACTGCCAGCAGCCCTGTTTTCTGCACCTTCTAGCTTCTTCCTCAGTGGTCTCCTCACCCTTACAATAACCCAGTCTTATTCTGCTTAGCAATGCAATATCTAATTAGATCAAAGCTCAAGGTAGCCTGGCTATAGAGTGAATTGTGCTATTTAGTCTTGCGCTGTAAGCAAAACCGCATGCAGTATATTACATTTCTCAGGGGCTTCTCCAGAGAACTGTGTGGTACATGTAATTGCCCCCACAAACAAATCATCAACTAATCAACTGCTTTTCATTATCACCTCCAGCAGCACATTTATTTTGTAAATAAATGCATTAAGAGCAAACAATTTTAGGGAAAACAAAAGATTATCTGAATACGATCTCAACAGAGGAAGTAGTAAAGTAGTAATTCAAATAGTAAAATGAAGCAAAATTAGCATAGGGTGGAATGATTATTCCATTCCATGCATCTCTGGTACAATAACAGAGTGAAATCTGTGACTTTAATGGATGATCTGGGTAGTTTAAGGGAACTGTGATTGACTGACACATTTACATAGAAGCTGATGAGCAGCATAATGAATGCATTTGTAAAACACAGCTAAGGTCTAACTCTAAGCTGACATTAACTCCCACACTTAGAGGAGGCTTGCAGAGCAGACACCTTGCTATCTTGAAGAGTTGCTCCCTAGCTCTTGGAGCAAACAAATTTGCTATTGTGAGCCCCCTTCCTTGACAGGAACTCCAGGAAGCGTATGGACACATGAGAATCTCCAGTTGAAGAGGAATTAATTGAAACAAGCCACGTAAGATTCTGTGACAAAGCAACACAAGCTGTATAAGGCAGGTATAAACCACAGAGATTCGTATCTTGCACCATACCTGTAATTTCCTAGGTAAACTCCATCGGGATTGAGCATGGGTGCAATCTTGAAGACCAGGTGGTCTCTCAGTACTTTTGCAATAGGATGGTGGCTCACAAGGAAATCAATTATACCTGGGTAAAAAAAAAAAAAGAAGAAAGAGTTTGAAAAGGGGGAGTTATGACATCAATGATTTCCAGATATCTATCTGAATTTTCACATATAAAAGATTAAAATGATCATTCCTCTTGATTTCTGGCACTGCTCCTGCTTCCAACAGAACAAACCGTTTGCAGTCATGTAGCACCTGCTACATGACCTCCTTAAAACTCCAAGAACTTTGAGGAGAAATACCTTGTCTATCCTCATAATCCAAGTACACTATGGCTGCACTATCAGACACTGTCAAGTCTCCATAGAGGGAGAAGTTACTGCTCATCAGCTGAGCCTTGATAAGAAAACATTTCTCCTCTTAAGTGGTAAAATCAAGATACCTTATATACCCAGCCTGCATACATGAGCTCATACTGCAGCTCAGCTCATGAGTGGTCACTTGTTGAGCTAAGGCACCTCAAATTCATTTGAGCATATGCCCAGACCTACCCTTGACATATGAACACAGGTTTCAGATCATCTGCATGTATAAAGAGGTATAAATGCCTCACAAAAAACTGGGGTAGTTACATAACCTCTGCACTAGGCACAGATATACTGTGGGATTGGTAGACTGGAATTTATAAGGTCATATTCTTCACTTATTTTACGCTCAGGAAAGCCTGGAGTAACTCCACCTCATCAGCTCCTTTAATGTGGAACGAAGGCAAGTGACAGGGGAAGCAGATCCTAAATGCCCTTCCTTTGGGCACATCACAGCACCAGAGCCTGCAGGAGCTCCTGCCTCTTGGCCTTGTGCTCAGGGAGTGACTAAACATTGCCTCACCCCAAGGCTGGTGCTGGGGCAGGAAACAGGAATCTGGCAGTTAAATTCATTGCTTATTCCTCCACCGAGTTGGTACTGACAGAAATAGCTTCCAGGGAATTAATGTAGAGATAAATTGAGTTCCTGTGTAATCTCAGGACACCCACAGATAGGTCATGACAATTTGCTATTTATTGTAAGGTCCATCCTGTGAAGCAGGAACCATTTACTGAATTTCCCCAGAATAAATCAATCACTACGGTCTAGTAACAGGATAAAATTAAGCGGAGAAAAATTAAGGCTGCTCATCAGTAAAATTTCACTAATGGTGAGCTCTATTAGACTGTGGAATTGTCTCTCCAGGGTAAGAGTGGAATCCCATCATCAGAAGCATTTAAGGCTGGACAGGGTAAAGCCTTAGGGAATAGATATAACAAGCGACAATTCAGCATAGAAGAGATGGCATGGGCTAACTAGCTGACTTTAGAAAGGCTGACTTCAGACCTGATTTTTTTGTGATTCAATCAAAATATTTAAAAATAAAAATAAACCCCAGGTAACATGCCAGATTAAATGCACTTGTTTACAGCTTGGTTGGAACATACGTTAAAGACAGGACCAAAATCTCACATCTTGTACAACTCCTTCATTGAGCTTATTTCCTAAGGCCCACTTTGTGTTTCAAATACTAACAAACCTGAACCTACACTGCTGTTGGGATGAATTCTAATTTGCTGAGGCACATGGAGAAAAATGAGGCTTCTGAAACGTCCAAGATGATCAAGGTGTAATTGACTCTAAACTTAAGCAATTTTTTCATCTATTAGTCACTACTCATGAAGAAGGGAAAGTCCCTTTCTGCAACCAAGTCTTTTACTTGAGAAGAAACTAAACCTGAATTTTGGAGGCAAATTAGCATATACATAATTACATTGCTCAGGAAATGTTTCTGCAATTACCTCCTCCCAATGAAGGAAACTGAACATCGATCTGCTTTTTGGCTGGTGTTGTGACTTTTGTTCATTATACAACAGCAAGAACATGGAGAAACGACAGGGACACAGTTGGATCCTGAATAACCAGATTTCCTAAGTGTATGCAAACATGAAAAGCTTAGCTATGTTAAACTGCTGCTCTAACTGTTTTCTGGCAGCGTCTGAAACATAATCCACAGTATGCACACCTGGAAAGCTCCAAAGTACTTAAAGGAAAATAGCCCCACACTTAGTCCATGGTTTCTCAAGATGCTATGCTGGTTTTAGTTTTAAAGAGCTTGCAACTAGACTCAACTATACTCAAACATCACATCAATTTATGTTTTCTGAAATGCTTGGAAGAGTTAACTGTTCAGCAATCATTATGTCCAGAAAAAACTTTATCCTAGGTTAGGTATGACTTTTCAAGGCAAGTGCAATAAAAACAGCGTAAATATCACATCGCGTACGCAATCTTCACTTCACCAAAGGCCTTTGGCAGAACAGTTTTGCTGTGTGATCTGGCAGCACACCAAGAATTCACATGCTACAGTTCGTCACGCAGCAGGGAGGACCATGAATACCTCAGGAATAACATGACTGCGTTTCACCCAGGAGCCCAAAAACTCTCAGAGCTTCGCTCTGGCTGTAACTGTGCCAGGGAAGAGGCTTGTCCAGGTTCTGCTCATTTTGCCCTTGTTATTGATGCAGCCTCACTCACAGAGCTTGGCAAAAGCGACTTGGCAAACAGAAGCTACAGTTTTCAGCTTCACACAGCGAATTATTCTTCCCTAACCAAGAACATGCTATGATGAGGAAGGCTACATATAAACACAGTGGGTGAGCCTCTGCTCTGTGTGAATCACTGTTGCACCCTTAGTTAGGTCAGTTGGGAAGAGACTGATCTTGGGCACTCAGGAGCTTGGTGTCAAACAAGACCCAGCATTTCCCAATGTCCCACAGGCTACTGGGGGTACTCCAGCCAAGTTCACCCAGTCCAAAGAGATTTACTTTATTTTCTTATTTAAGATACATTTAATTAAGCCTGAAGAAACCTTACCCCATCATAAAAACACAAAGCAAGAGTTAAGAATAACTGACTCGTGGAATTTTAACTTGGAAGTAAAGGGAGTTCTAAGGGACATGACAGAAGCATCAGATGAAAGCACACATTTACATACACAAACCTCACCAGAAAATTATTGTAAGCATCCAAATAATCAATACAATTAGCAAATAACTTTGTCTTCCAGAGGAACCCAATAGTTCTAGATCCTCTGAAATAGTCTTGATCAATAACATTTAAAATGAAAAGATGGATAGCAGACTATTAAAAAAAATACCATCGCAGAGAACTTGGTCCTTCAGTTAATAAATCAATACAAACTAAATTTTACAGCTTCTGTAATCAGCAAGAGACATATCAGTGTATCTCATTAGGCCAGGGTTAAGAATTTGGCAGCAACCAAAGCCCATTTAATATCATTTACTTCAAGGCAGACACGGCAATACAACAGATGCCCTAATTTATTTGTTGATCTTTGTATTAAAATAACAGTTTGCTGGTAAACAGGAAGGGTAATGATGCCAGTCACCCTTGTTAGTGGCTAATAATTGCTTAATTTGTCCACTAATTGACCTGTGCTACTGTTGAAGCACTGGATCGTGTTGCAGGGCATGAAGTAAACAAGGCCACTGTAATGTTACTTTGGAGAATGACTTCTGGAAATAGAACTACTTATTGCTATAAATTTTCTTTTCACAGATGAGCAGATTAATTGGTCTGCCAATTAGTCTGCTATTAAAGAAAAAAGGGCTGCCCACAGATTGGATGCATCTTCGAACTGCGGCCCCAGTTTGGGTCAAAGGAAATAATCCAATCTGAATCAGTCACATCAGCTATGAAAAATAAGACAAGCATTATTTAAAAAAACAAATCTCTGCGGCTGGAGATCAAGGAAAATAGCCCAATAATGAAGTATTAACTCTTCAAGTGACTTGAAAATAAAATGGAGAACATGATGGAATGGACCTACTTAGGCATATTATGGCGTGGAAAAGTCCTCCAGTTAAAAGAAGCAAAACAATATAGATTATTTTCCTATCAAGCTTTCTGGAAAGCAATTAAAATCTTTATTTTTCAAATAATAACATGCAATTATAGATGCTGCCTGGAACCAGAACAGCTCAGAAATCAGCATTCAGCCATGACATAAGAAGAGGCTTATTCATAGTCCACTAGAAATCAACCAAAGTCTTTACATTAACTTCAAGGAGCTTTTCACAGTTATGAGGGAATGGAAAGAAAGGAGTGAAACCAAGGAAAAGGCAAAACAAAACTGTCAGCTGCAAGTATTAGATACACAGCCACAATGGCTTAAAAAATGCTAGCAGTTTTTTAAGTCTTTCTTGGTAAACACAGATTCACTGCAATCGCACTAAATCTGGACCAGATTTCTTCCACTTCGAGTCACTTCTCTACCATTATTCTTTCTCAAGGCTAAATGCACTTTATCAAATTTTTCTTGCCTTCTTCAGCTCAGCACCTCTCATCTGCCCCAACACTATATCCTGGGGCATCTCTCTGCTCATCCCAATCCAGCTCAAATTATCTACTGGTTCTTCACAGGCAAGTTAATCATTCACTCTTCCATAACATGTAACTTCCACTGTTCTGTCAAGATATTTCCTCAATCAGCCACCTTAAACTCTGTTTAAACTTCCTGTGGCTCTAACATGACCTCTCCGCATTTGCTCCTTCCAAAGCAAAGCCTGTCTTATCCCCTGTTTTTTCCATTACTCCATCCTTTCACCCTCAGTCTGACAATATATTTAATTGTATAACTATATAATACATTTGCCCTGCTCCTATTACTGAAAATCTAATCAGCACAGGTCCTAATGCAATATGGCAACTGCTAATGCAAACGTATCCTGGACTGTATCTAGTATATGCCAAGAAAGAAGTGATTTATATTGTCAGACCCATTTCCTAACACTGAGTAGCTGCTGGTATCCTGCAGTCAGCTCACCATAACCTGCAGGTTAAAGAGGATGTGACAATTAATCTCTAACAGAAATAGGATATATTCATTGGAAAATAAATGTAAGAGAGTCCTGAATGCTTATGATCATATAAAACTATTGAAAATACACTGTTAAAAGAGACTGAACTGAATGTGAATGACACAATACTTATGTTTCAGTGGCGAGCCAGAAAGCAAAAATATGGGGTCGGGTT